TAGTTTTATAGTTAATCCAAATGCAAAGTATCTCCTGATTTCTGGACCTGCTACTTGTATTAAAATGATAAGAAAGTGCTTTAAAAACAGTAATCAGAGGGTTTAGGAATGGACTTGCCATATTAATGAAAAGGAATTAGCCTGACATACCATAATGTTAGCTTTATTGCTGTTATATTACTTTGTTTTAAAAGACTTACTGATGGATACATTAGAATGTAAAGGCTTTTTCCAAGTATAACTACATTATTTTGCAAAACACATGGTTCATTTGGTGAAAAAATTCATGTCAATCAGCTTGATTTAAATGGTTACCCAGGTTAGACAAAATAGTAAATTCGGTAGTGTTTAGAGATGAAGTCACAGTTTAAATCAGAGTTTTCTGTTTAGTGTTTTATTTAAAATGCAGATTCTTGGACCCTATACTCACACAGCAAACCATAATCTCTTGGAGGAACTGCTAAGAATTTACACTTTTCTGTAGCTCATAGTGAAGTTGAGAATCTCTGGCTGAGACCACACAATTATAAAGGAGTGCAAAGTAGCACTGTATGGGAAGGCAGAGTAAAGCTTTGAATAAATATTAGAAGCCTAGGGTGATTGGATTCTACCGCTTACTGGCTGTTTGATCTTGTACGATCATTTAGCCTCCCTGAGCATTTTCTTTCTCATGTTTACCCATCAGGGTGGTTATAGGACGAGATGTGACAGTGCTCATGATAGCATTTTTAAATCTGTTCACTGTCATACAAATGTAAGATGGCTTTATTACTATGGTTGTAGTTAGTACCAACTGTTTAAACAATAATCCAACTGATCTAGTAGTTTCTTTTCCTATGTAATGTTAAACGTTTTCAAAAATCACTTACGTGTCAAAATAGAAAATGCATTAGAGAATATGATTGGGGTGGAAACTAAGCAGGAAAGTCATGTTAGCAGTGGCCAAAATCGCAGGTCTGAGTTGGACCTGAAATGATCTCAGAAAATGGGGGAAGTGGAGTTCAATAAGACAACAGTAGGGCGGGACATGTGCAGAGGAATTAAGTTGCACTGAGAGTAGCTGGCAAATGAGTGCCTATGCCTGAGTCTACCTTATAAAGATCTAGAAGCCATAAAGACCATAAGCTGAGCATACGTCAGGCATGGATGCTACAGCTGGAGCAGGAGGCTGAACCCTGACATGCACAAAAACATCTAAGAGACCATCCTTTTTCTTTTCTCATAATTAGCCAGGGAAAGCCCTCTTGAGAGCACTGATTCCAGTTAAAGTCTTCTCATCAAAAGTTCTTGTCAAAAATAAAATTAGAACACAAGCACAAATGTAACCAGTTTTTTGAAAAGCATAACTTTTGATCAGAGTACTGAAAGCTGGAAGGAGAAAAGGAAGAAGCCCTACCATTAATCTTTTCCCATTACTGATGGTGAGCCTGGAATATTGTCAGAGCATTGGACGGTCATTAGGTTGTCTGTCAGCTGGACAAGAAAAGGGTCATTCTCACCACCCTCTACATCTCCTGAAATATCATGAGCTTTCCCATCATTCATTCATTGCACGGATATTTGGGGAGTGCCTTTTAATGTGCCAGACACTGTAATATTGGAGGGACAAGAAAGAGCAAGACAGATGTGGTTCCTGCTCTCAGAGAGCCATGGCTTGCCTATCCCTTGCAGCAAGTGCTTGCTGTAGATTGTTAGCAAAAGTGGCCGTAACTGTTCCACTCCCTATATCCACATCCCTTTGCAATGTGGTGACTGAAGCTCGTATCAGCGAGAGGTGAAGTCTATTTTCCCACTCCTTGAATCTAGGTTGACAAGTTGACTTTATTTGACCTGTAAAAAGCCCAGATGTGACCTTTTGTCAGTTCCGACCCTAGGCCTCAAGAAGGCTTGCTTTCTTTTCTCCCTTTGTCTCTCAGAACCTGTGATGACTGTGAAAACAAGCCTGGGCTAACATGCTAGAGGAAGAGAGTCCACATGGAGCCGGCCGTTCTTGCTGAGGCCATGAAGATCAGCTAGCTGACAGCCCATCTGGCTGCTAATCTCAGCGCAAGCCCAGCTGAGACTGTAAGAATGGTCTGGCCAAACCCAGCCCAAGTGACTAAGCTATAGAATTGCAAACTAAATAAATGGTAGCTTCAAGCCACCACAGTTTGGAATGGTTTGTTATGCTGCAAAAGCTGACGGAGCAGCTTTTAAACATGTAAGTATGACTCAAAGTTTATTTGGGGCACAGAATTTTCTCATATGCCTTATCAAATTACCTTGATAACTGCCAAATCGCCACTTCACTTTGCACTGTATGGACGCCTCAGTGTACAGTTGTCAGAATATAGACACCCTGGGAAGGTTTGATATTGGATCTCTGATCTGCAGAATATGAAGTTTACTAATGTGCTTGAAATGTGACATATATGCTATAATCTAATTTTTGGAGAAAACACAAATATATAGGCAGAACATAAACATTTACAACCAATACAAATCTCAAACAAGCAGTTAAGTTAATGCAAATCCAATTAGCTATGTTTTCTAACATGATGGTTGATGGTGTAAAACGGCAACCACCACCGAACATCTGTTTGTTGGATTCTGAATTTGCACAACTAATCAAATATGTCCTATAGACACTGGAGACACAGGCTCCAATTTGTCCTTTAAATCATATTTTTATTTTGATATATTGTTGGAACTACCTGCAGAGGCTGATATACTGTTCCAGTTGTCTGTGTAGCTCTCTTTATTTTAATGATGACACATCAATAGAGATTAGTGAAAAGGATCTTTGATTTATCTTGATTTTCAAATATGTCAGGGTGTCTTTTCCTCTTTTCCTGGCAGCCTTTCGTCTGTGTCCAGCTCTCCCAGCTGGGCATCTTGGGACAGCAGCCAAGTCCAGGGCTAATGTGTTTCTGCTGTTATCTGACACTGGTGCTGCTTCATAGAGGCAGTGATGAAGATAAGCTTTAATTGGATGTACTTTTAAAGCAAACCTTTTAGTTACTTGGAGCAGGACTCCTCCAATTAGCTTCTTTTCTCCTGGATCTGGCTGTGCGAGAGCCACATTACTGTGGAAATGCTGGGTTTGAAAGAGAGTCAAGGGCAGTGGTGGCCACTGAAGGACACTCATGCTCCACCAGACGGGCTGGGAGCTGTGACTCCTGACAGTGAGGTTGAGTGAAAGACGGCTGAGAGGCCAGAGGTGACAAGAAGCCCTAGCAATGGTCTAGGGTACACCACCAAAGAGCCCTGCCCTAACGAACTCCGCAGGAGAGGAAAGTTCCCTTCGGGAGGAAGGGTCAAACTTTCTAATGGCCATCATTTTCCTCCACTGCAAATATTTTACTCCAAAGCAAAATGTTTTAACCTTAGCTTAGAACTGAGAGTTTTAAACTGCATTCTTTAATATGCTATCCTCAGGTTGGAGAAAATAGATTTTTCTATTCTAAGGCCCTACCCTTTTTAAGTTACTCAAAAGATTTGGACAGTCACTGAATAGGAGAGCTGCTTAGTAAAAAAGGAGCAGGTTCAGGGGTCTTGATGTGGAAAAAAAAAATGAGAGAAAAGCAGCAGAACCAAAAACCATTTCTTTCTGGCTTTTATTTCCGAAATGGAATTAGAAGTGAGACATAATAAGTTAATAATTTCCCCTTGTCTGGAAGTGGGTCTGCCATCATTACCTCATGCTCTCTAGGGGGTGCGAGTTCCCGTGTTCACTTGAGCATTATTGAATATCAGGGGTATGAGAATTAATGTCCCAGATGCATCTGGGCCATATTGCATTAGTCCTGTGGTCAATTAGAAAGGATGGGCTGGGTGGCAACACGGGACTAATAGGGACTATGAGAGCTGGGGCGTGGTCCAGAGACAGCAAGAGGAAGCAGCTTCACTCTGGGGGCCAACGCCTCTCTCTGGCCTCTCGTAGACTTGACTTCCTGTTCAGTTTTATGAAGCTATCTGTCCCTATAGTCCTGCCCCCTGACTCTAGGACTCCATCCAAGGTTTTGAGCCTGAGCATTTACTTCACAGGAAGTTTGAATCTGAGTTCTGTGTTAAAAAATTATACAGGCTGTATCATTATTTGAAAATGTACTTAAATTAATATTAATAATTAACTCATATGTTTGATTGACTTTATTGGTCAGAGGTTAAATTTTGCCAAGCAGTGGCTTAACCAGGTAATATTAACTTGGAGACCATTTTTTTCTCTTTCCTCCTTGTTGATTTCTCGTATGACTCTAATATCGTGCGTAAATCTTGAATCCTTCTGTGTCGGCCATTGTCCGTACTCCTCTGGGCATAGGAATACATCTTCTAAAAACCAGTCATTTCTCTCGATATTATTCCCCAACTAGTATGATGACTGTTAAAAAATTATTTAATCTAATAATCAGGTAATATGCTTGATATTTGCTCTAGAGTTCAGATAGCAAAATTTACAGACCCATAGCTTAACAGAAGTTTAGGAGTAACCATTTTAAAATCTTTTCTCCTTTGCCAAGATGCTGGTTTGCTGGGACTGTCTATGCTCATGACCACAGTGGGCAAGGCACTGACCCCTTCTCTTTAGTCACAGAGCCAGAGCAGGACTGGCTGTTGAGAAGTGAAAGAGATATTGAAGTGATATCCAGGAAATACATAACATGTCTGGAGAAAATGAAAAGGATTCTAGAACAGAATCACCTCCACAATATGCTAAAGTCACTACATTTGCATAGAAGAAAAGGCCTTGAAAAAGTGATTTTTAACGGCTTTATAGAGTTCTAGCAGGTATACCTTTATACTTAAGTGAAGATATACAGACATATATAAAGAGCACAGTTTATATAACAAAGCTCCTCTCTGACACTAGGCTCAAAATTTGCTCCCCTCCTCCCTCCATTCTTATGTTGAACCTCAATTTCCTCCTTACCGATCTCCTTCTAGGAGATTAAAATCTTGGATTAGTACAAAGCTCTTTATGTCACCCCCAGTGAGTACACCTAATTCTGGAAACTGCATACCTGATGGTTAGTCCTATCCACCGTATTGGCCGTGGAGGGGTGATCTCTAGTGTTCTGGCGAATTCGAGTGGAGTTTTGTTGCTCGATGGTGGAGGAAGTTGGGATACAGAACTCTCTGAAGCATCGTTTGAAGTTTTCATCCAGAAACGCATAAAGAACCGGGTTGAGGCAGCTGTTTGTGTAACCTAGAGCGATGCAGAAGTGCCAAGAAACGGTCTGGAACGTCGTTTCTGGGATGGTAACCAAGGCTTTGATGATGACGTAGATGTGGATGGGGGTCCAGCAGACGATGAACACAGCCACAACCACCAGCACCATCCTGGTGATCCTGCGCAGGTTCCTGTCCTTTTCTTTGGAGCCAGAGAGCATGCGCACACTCTTGAGGCGTAAGATCATCAGTCCATAACACACGGTAATGATGAGGACAGGCATGACGAAGGCGAAGATGAAAACACAGATCTTCAGCAGGTTTTCCCAGTACCAGGTTGGGTGAGAGAATGTTAGCGTACAATCTATGGAACCTAGAAGAAAAGAATTTAAAGGGAAAAATAGCAACATTTAATTATATCATCAGGTATTGATATTGTCATCTTGCTTACTAATTTATAGCCTTGACCAGAGCCAACTTAAGCTACTGTAATATGATGCAAGCCAATAAGAAAAGATTTAAAGAAATTATGGAAGAAACCCAGCTCTCTGTTAATTTTCAAAGCAAGTTACTTTTAATTTTTTTCCCCTAAATTTCCCATTTTTCTGTCCACTTTGATCATATTAAATTTTCATTCAGTGAACAGTTATGGACCTCTCACCATGAGCTAGACCTTCTATGACAGAATCTATGTTTATATACAAAATATATTCACACCTAATGGGTGTGGTGCCCACGATCTGGGATGGGCTCGCGTGTAGCTCCAACTTGGGCAGTGCAAATGTCATAGATGTAACCTAAATGTTTATCTCCCTGTAAAAATCTTGAAATAAAAAATTAAAAAAAAAAACAGCGAAATATAATATTTTCTGAAGTTTCTAGGAGGCTGCAGATAATGGATGTTTTCACTCCATTTTTTGTGGGTAATTAATTGTTCTGCTATTAGATGTAGAAAGATAAATTTGTCACACAGGAAGCCACTTGAAATTTTAAAGCAAGCCTCGACATAATACTCTTTGGTTTTAAGCTCTTTTTAATCTTGGGAGAGATATGTTCTTATTTGCCCACAATTTTGATAAAGTACGGAGAAATCAAGAACAGATTGTATTGTCTTTAAAATGTTTAGTGGGCCTAACATTATTAAAAGATGTTCTATTTAAAAATATTCAGACATTTTTCTAAATTTGGCTAAAACACTGGACCACTCCATCAATTCCACTGGGCTCATGACATCACCAATTAATCGGGCTATCCACCCTCCATCCCTCAGGCCTGCAACATTACTCACCATGCCTGTATTTGGTTGTTGCCATGAACATTACAGGAAGACCAATGGCTGAAGAGAGGATCCAGTTGCAGACATTGACAATTTTGGCATTTCGGGGGGTGCGGAAATCCAAGGCCTTGACAGGGTGGCAGACTGCAATGTAGCGATCGACACTCATGGTGCAGAGTGTGAATATGCTGGTGAACATGTTATAGTAATCTATGGAGATCACGATCTTGCACAAGATGGTTCCGAATGGCCACGTTCCCATTAGGTAATTGACACTCTGGAAGGGGAGGGTACTGGTGGCTAAGGCATCTGCCAGAGCAAGGTTGAAAATATAGATGTTGGTGGCTGTCTTCATTTTGGTGTATCTAGGAGATGAAGGAAGAATAGTGACAGAGTCAGCAAGCACACCAATGTGAAATATGAGTAAGCTTCCAGTAATAAATTTGCATGAATTAATGGAAAGCATTTGGGATTAGGCATAGAACTCCATAGAACTCCAGTACTAGCTTGGCTATTTACAACCATGTGCCTAATAACAAAATATATAATGTATCAGTTTTCTTCTCTGTAAAATAGTTATAATGATAGCATCAACCATGCTGAGTTATTGAGCTTTTAGTCATTGTTCTTGTTTTTAATGTGCTGGTCACTGTAACAGGCATAATAGACACAGGGAGATCCTAGTCAAGTAGTAGAGGCAGACTAGATAATAATCCCACATATATAAAACATTTATATACAGATAGATATGGTTAAAACTATTGAAGCCTATAATAGTGTGTGTATACATATATATGTGCATATATATATAAATAATTTTTGTTAGATATACCTTTGATTATAGACCTGCATGATCTAAAGGCATATTTGACTGCATGTGCATATATATGTACAAACACATGCACATACAAACACACAAGATATTATGGAGACATAGAGATGAGGCATCTCATAGAACATAAGGCAAAGGAAATAGGAGGTGTAAGATACGGATGACATCCTAGAAGTGCAGATGCCCAAGTTTAATCTTAAAGTATAAGTAAGAGGATGATTTAGACAGTTGATAAGAGCAGGTCATTCTAGGCAGAGAAAGAGGAGAGAGAACCCCAACAAAGGCACAGAGTTGAAATGACATGATATATTTGCCTGGCACATTCTACCAGGGAATGGCAATGGATCAGAGAGGGGAGGAAGAGAGAGGCTATTACACAGGAGGACTTGCCTGCCATGGTAGGAAGATTAGGCTTTATTCAATCCATGATGGGAAGCCTAAGTTTCTTTTCTTTTTAATAGCTTGAGGTATAATTGACACCTAATTAACAAATTGATACGTCTTGACATATATATACACCTGTGAAACCATCACCACAATCAAGCTCAGGGATTGGCAAATCTAGGCCTATAGAACCAACTGAGTCACTGCCTGTTTTTGTAAATAGTTTTATTAGAACACAAGCAGGTATCTTATTTATAGATGTTTTGATGCTACAAGGGTAGAGTTGAGTGGTTGCAACATAGATCAGATGGCTTGCAAAGCCTAAGGTATTTTCTATCTTTCCCTTTACAGAAAAAAGTGCCAATCCCTGATCAAGATAATGAACATATCAAGCACCCTCAAAAGTTTCCTCTGTAGCTCTTTAATTTTGCCCCTCCCTGTCTCACCACCTACCCCCCCCGCCCCCACCCCAGTATTCCTTAGGCAATCACTGATCTTGTTTTGCTTTCTGTCCTTATAGATTAGTTTGGCATTTTCTAGAGTTTTATGCAAATAGAATCCTTCAGCATGTACTCTATTTTGTCTGTCTTCTTTCACGCAGTGTAATTATTTTGAGATTCATTCATGTTGTTGTATGTATCAAGAATTTGTTCCTTTTTATTTGCAAGTAGTATTTCACTGTATGGCTATGCCATAATTTGTTTATCCATTCATTTGTTAATGGGGATTGAGTTGAATACAGCTTTTGGTTACTACAAATTAACTGTTACAAACATTCATGTACAAGTCTTTATAGGGACATATGCTTTTCTTTTTCCTGGGTAACTATCTAGTAATGTTACATACTTCAAAGCTTGCAGAAATTATAACTGCCAAATAGAAGAGATGGGCAGGTGCACTTTCAATAATAAATTCTATCATATGGGGAAAGTACATCTTGCACATACCGGACATCTATTGTTTTTAACATTCCATATATATTTACCATAATTTAGAAGTAGAACCTCAGTTTTACTCTGGGGAAGCCACTCATTTCCCATTTTCAGTCCACATGCTTTGCAATGGGCTCTGTTAGTAGTTCAGGCCCTGAAGCTGTTAAGCCTTTGGGGCCACATTGAATGGCCAAGATGGTCTTATGTCTAAACCAGAGACGATGAGTTTTCCGACAGGACTCAAACCTGAGAGGATTTGTGGTATGTAGTTGCTGGAAAGCCTGTCTGAAAATGGGCCCAACCCAGAATATGTGGACTTGAGAGAGTGAGAGAGAATCTCATACCTAAAGCTAGTCTTCCTTAGACTTTTTATTTACACAGTGCAGTAAATTCTTTTTAAACTTTAGCTTTCGTTTACTATTTTTCAGACACGTGAGGTTAAGAGTCTAACTCCTTCAGCCCAAGACGGCTATTGGTTGGAGAAGATAGTATCACAAAAGCATTTGCTTGGAGCCTTAATTCAGTGTTCTAAGAAAGTGATTTGATTTTGGTAAGGGCAGGATTTCAAAAATCTCGGGGCCAATGCTTTGGAATTATTTCTTGAACTTTAAAAATTCTGATACCTGACCTGGTCTGCAGTATTTTCAGAAATTGCATTGCTGCCAAAAAATGCTCCCCAATTTCAGATTTGAAGGCTTTTTTTTTTACTTGCTTTAGAAGTTTTATTTCCTTAAAGGATTTTAAAGGAAAAGGTAGAGAAAACCATTTAACTTGAAGAACTATACCAACTTGATTTTAAGGAAGACTCTAAATATGACAAATATAAAAAGATAACCTAAATAATATAGTCCAAAGTACATAAACAAACAAATAAAATCCAAACTCAAACTGGTATTTTAAGCTTTTAAAATAACTGACCTTGATGCTCAAGAAGTTTAAAATTTTTTTATATTGTTTATAAGCAGAAGTTTCTCCCCCAAAGCAGAACAATAACTTTTGCTAGATACACTGTTGATTGTAGGCCTGTGTGATCTAAAGGCATACTTGACTGCATTAGTCACTTTCCTACCCAGCACACCTTACGTTGTGAGTCTTATCTTTAATAGAATGTTTTATGTTAAATAATTGGGTTTTTTGCAGTCAGTTTTCTGACTCATCATACTTCTAACCTTTTTGCAGGCTTATCTTAGCACTGGGTATTTATAATATATGTTTATTTCAGTTAAAAAAAAATCATTTTAGTTAAAAAAATTCATTCCTCCCAGAATGAGGTGTTTATGAAACAACATTAGATTAGGGTCCTACATTATAAAAGGAAAAGTGTGGGCCAGGCACCGTGGTTCACGCCTGTAATCCTAGCACTTTGGGAGGCCTAGGCAAAAGGATCCCTTGAGCCCAGGGATTTGAGACCAGACTAAGCAACATAGCAAGACCCGGTCTCTGCAAAAAATAAAAAGGAAAAATTAGCTAGGTGTGGTACTACACACCTGTAGTCCCGGCTGCTCAAGGGGCTGAGGGAGGAGGATCACTTGAGCTCAGAATTTGGAAGTTATAGTGAGCTGTGATCAGGCCACCACACTCTAAAAGAGATATGTAATTTAGCCTGGGTGACAGAGCTAGACCCTGTCTCAAAAAAAAAATCCTCACAAAAGAAAGTAAAAGCGTTACAAAGTATATGTTAATTAGTTTGTTAGCCATTCCACAATGTATATGTTTCAAAACATCATGTTGTATGTGATAAATATAAACAATTTTATGTTAATTAAAAAAATAAAATTAAAATAGTAGAAAGAAAAGTGAATATTTATAAAAACGATTTTAATGGGCATTTTACAGGAACAATGCCGTTGAATTTTTTTTCAACTTATCTAAAGAGCCTTTCTCTAAAGACAGCTAGTATTTTTATCCTGATTACTCATGCTTTGAATCACAGCAACACATAAAAGGGGGTTCAGAAATTTCCTAAATATGTGAAAGAGAATTATATAAGACTAAAGGTTTGGGAATTCCTACTGCCTATAGCATATTCCCAAAGGCTTGAATCTGAAGAGAAGGTCTGACCAGGAAAGGGGTCATGTAAACCAGCAAATACAAGCTTTTCATTCTGTTCTGTTCCAGCATGGTGGCAGGAATGTTGCCCCAACAAAGTTAGATAAATGATCAGAGTCACACTGCAGGCTGTACATGGAGGCATAGAAACCAGAGTTAGCAAACAAGCCAAAGAAGTGACTTGAAGTAAGAATTATCTTTGCTGTTTAGTTTACATGAGTGGGCCTGAGTAGAATTCCTGCTTATTAAAAACACAATTTTTCTATCCTTTATGCCTATTGCTGCTGCTGCTTCTTCTTCTTCTTCTTTTTTTTTTGAGACAGTGTCTCACTCTGTCACCCTGGCTAGACTGAAGTGTTGTCATCATAGCTCACTGTAACCTCAAACTTTTGGGCTCAAGTGATCCTCTTCCCTCAGCCTCCCAAGTAGCTGGGACTACAGGCACCACTCCACCTGGCAGATTTTTTAATTTTTTGTAGAGACAGGATCTCTGTATGTTGCCTAGGCTGGTCTCCAACTCCTGGCCTTAAGCTATCCTTTCACCTCAGCCTCCCAAAGTGCTGGGATTACAGGTGTGAGCCACCACGCCTGGCACCCATTGCTTCTTACTGTGCCATAAATGTGTTTCGTGGCAAAGTGGGCAAAGTGAAATGGGTGGGATGTGTGAAGTCCGTAGAGAGTCTCACCCAGACTCATAGGGCCTTCCTGACATTGACCATTCCAACTGTACTCACTTAAATGTGTCTTTTCCTCTAAGCAGTGGCCCACACTATTTTTTTTCTTTCTAATTATTCCATTGACATTTTTGTGGAAGGTATTTCTTTAAATTTGTTCTAGGTAATGAGTAGCCTTTTGGTTTTATGAATCTAAATGAATTACCATGCAATTCATCTTTTAAAAAAACAATTATGTTCTTCTCAGAACCTTCAATGCTTGGCCCATTAAAATGATTTTATGCAGCTTCCAAACCTGTGTTAGGGAGTTGATGTTACGAAGGCCATTTCGTTGGCAGCTCAACTATTCTCCTGAGTTGCATTTATGCTATTTGTTTATAAATGTCCTTCATATTTTTATGGTTATTAAAATCATTCCTATTCATCTTCAGACCCCCTTTTCACCCTACTATTTCTCCTACTATTACTGCTCACCAAAACTTCATTGATGTTGACTAACTTGTACTAAATGAAGCCACAAGTACTTACATACAACCTGATGAGCTTTGCAAACTTTGTTTTGTTTTTGAGTTAATTCTTTGAATTGTGATGACCCTATCTCAGTCCAGAAATAAGAATGACCAAGAGAGC